TATATATATATATATATATATATATATATACACACACACACATCATACATACAATAAATGTAATTATATATACTTGGAATATAACTGTGATCTGTTTGCTTTGGCAAGATATAAAGATATTTATGGAATTTTATTATGCTTGTTCTTTCCTCCCGTGATTTTGTGATCTACTCGCTACTTCGGTTTGATTGTTTAGGATCGAGAGAAGAGTCAAAGTCTCAAGCCGATAGGTAGATGGTAGAGAATAGCCACCGACAGATGGACGAACAACTCCGGACGTGAACTAGAGCATGCCAGTTCCGAAAGAGAAAGCAAAACAACGAAAGAAGTCACAGGAATCGCGGAGTATTTTATTTATCGTCGTTAGGATGCGCGACGAGCATAAAATGCAAATTCATGTAACGTATGCCGTTGTATCATTTAACATGTATTCTTCAAGAAGATCTAAATATGTAAATTGTAATAAGAAAATACTCGCGCGCGTGATTCTTGACACAGGGTTAAACGTAAACTTATACTCGTTGTTTTCTGTTCAAATATCAAATGCTTTTCTGACCAAATGCTTCTGAGTCAAAAGTCTCAGAACTAGTTTTAAATTTTTAATAATATCAATACAATAATAATATAAAATAAATACAAATCAACATTTGTAAGGCTATATAGGCCGAAAAGATTAAATTTTTTATTATATATTATTAATACATATTTAATATAATTTATATATAATTTTTTAAAAATTCATAAAACTATTGTAAACTTGTGCAAAATTCGATATCGACGTTTTAAGAACAGGAAATGGATGTTTTTTTCTAATTCTTCTTCGTTGTAAGACAAGCGGTGAAATGATCCACATACTGAAAACGCGTGCATGGATGCGAGATCGCGAGTTCTTGCGGCTCCCGACTACGTAAGCACGCGTGAAAAACGGTGTAGTTCGCACTTTTCCGTCCACCACGCGGTAAAAGTGAAGAGAATTCCCCCAGAGTTTCCAACGGAATCGTCCAGTTAGGCCGGTTCGACTGGCGTTGTAGACTGTTGCAGTCTAAGAAAGAGATGAGCGAACATCGGTTTCTCCGTCGGCTCCGACTGACGTATTATTTCAAGAAGTTCCTTTCATCATTGAAGGGAGTCACCGCGGGTCGCCATTATTGAAAATCGTGACAAGTGGCATCGTGGTCTCTTAAAAATCGGTAGAATACATCCAAATAGACCTACCAAGTAGACCTACGATCTCATTGTTCAATCGGAACAATTACTAACAGCGTAATTCAGGTGACATCTCCTGTGACATTTACCTGTGTCGTAAGAGAATAAAGCTTTCTGTATTCTCCAGCGCATTGTTTCCGAGCGGCATTCAATGCCGCTATCGGAAAAGGTGGTACACAGTAAAAATCTGTTGGGTATCAAGAATAATAATTTTCGGCGCAACTTATTTTCAGGAACAAAAGAACAAAAGAATTAGCCATATTAAGGCAATGTCATGTTTGACTAATGAATATCCTGTGATTGTATTAGCTATAAATTTTAAGTTGTATTAGCTATAAAGTTTAATAATTTTCCATCTGTAAAATTATTTTCCTTGGCGGCATTGGTCAAAGGTTTTTTTCTTCTTTTTAACAATTTGACAAAGGCTTTAATGCAACTAAAGAAAAAGGGAGAAGAAGGATAGATATATAAAGAAATAAATTTTTATACTTTATGCTATGTTATGAAAGGAGTTGAAATAAAAAGAATATATTTCTAAATAATAGTAATAAGTTTTTAATCGATTTAAGTTTCAAAAGCATTTAATCAATTTTGTCTGAGTCATAAAACGATAATATAAATTATATATCCAGTGTACTCGATATATACATAGGACAAAAAATTAGATGTCAATCGGACATTAGTTCCAGATCATTTGCACGATAATTCTAGTTCTTCTTTGTGATTACAGAGAGATAAAATGTTGAGTTTGTCGGTCTAAATAAGTGCACTCTTTTCATCATAATTCTAAGGCAATCCTTTTGCGTCATTTTCGGCCACATTTCGCTATAGATCGCTACAGATTCTTCGACATTGAAATGATTCTAATGGCGTATCATAAAGATGAAACAATACCAAAATCTAATTTCTTTTTTGAGCGAGATTATGTGCAGATCATTTTTAGGGCTGTTTCTCCTCGTCCCGATTTGTCGAGTAACGAAAAGTACGAAAAGCACGCGGGAAAGAGCGGTCTGTCTCTCGACGAAATTATAATATTTTGCCGACGAACGGATAAGAGGATAAGAGAACGATGTCACGATTTTGCACGATCTCTTTTTTTTTCGCATTACACTCGTCCGAGAAAAAAAGTCGGCGCGACCAGTGGTGCGTGCCGAAGCATAACGTTCTCCGCAGCGCCGCGCCGCGCCGCGCCGCGCCGCGCGCGGTGGCATTACTACTTCGTTACGCTCGTATCTTTCCGAAACTTTATGCCTGTGTCGTGGCGTTATTCCATCGTCGCGGCGATGGAAAACGACGTTGGACGTGCGGTAATTAACAACGCGAACGCGCGTTGCACTCACGTAATTAATTAGCGGGCTGAATACTTCGGTAGGTCATTTAATGTCCGTTTGAGTTACGTGAAAGGTGCGCGAGTAGAGGATGGTTGCGTGTAATAGTCACGGCGAAAAAAATAATGCCGAACAATATGCCGTTTGGGTTTTTATAAACTCGTGTAGAAAACCGCGTGAAAACAGTCTTGGAAGTACTAAAAGTACAACGTCAAGCGACATTTATGGAAAGAATACTTTTCTGTTTAATACTACATATCTATAAATTTTTGGCCAGACATAGATTTGAAAATAATTTTGTTGAGCCGTCAAAATAATTGCGTAGACTACTTATGACGCATAACGATAATATTGTAAAAATATTCGATACTCTAATATGTTTGTCTAATAAATAAAAGGTATATCTTTATTTTCTGGTCCATCCTGCACGGAGTCCTCACGTGGCGTGAGTTCGTTTTCACGCCTGAGTAAAAGTGAGTTCCACGTAAACAGCAGCTTGTTACGTATGCATATAGTGCCTTTGCAAAAGACAAGGAAAATGCTCGCATTTAACAAAATCGCATTTAACAAGATCCATATTTGAATTTTGCGATATTTCTTGAGATATCTTGCGTGATTTTCGTGTCTTGATTAATTTCCGATCAATCGCAGGAAACGAAAAACCTCCGATATGACCTCCGATAAATCAAATTAAATCAGCTTTCACTTCACTTTTGACCAGACATTCTTGGCGACGATTATTTTTCATCTCGGTTAATCGTTCATAAAAATTTCTCTGAGTAGCAAGCACGCGTGTGGTCTTCTAAGTGAAAGGATATATTTACAGATACGCATACGTACGACATGCAGATTCTTAATTTGTGATATGTTAGATATTTTTGAGAGATCTTAAATTAAATTTCTGTCAAATGATGAATTCTCGTCTACGTGAAATTAAGCAAATCAGATTCTGTGCCTCTGCAATTTAATCTACCAACTAGTTAGCAGAAGTTTTCGATCCTGTCGTATTTTCGGTCGAATTTAGGTCGGGGAAGTCACGAGCGCGGTACGTTTGACACGATTTCCTCTGTTCGTCGGTCGAATGTCAAGGTGTAGGTCCCGACATACAGGTACCACGTATACGTGTATACACGTATCTGACCTCGTCGCTTCTGAATATCCGAAATCCCGAGTGAGACAGTTAGAATGTCGTAACATCATAACTGTATAATATTCTGTTGAAACGACAAATATGAAATGAACCCTTTCTCGTTTTTTACTCTTACGTTCCATTCTATGTTATCTTATCGAAGAGGCGAAGATTCCTGACATTTCTAAGTGAGTCCTGAAAGCGAGTTTTTTAATTAAATCAATACGTTATTTTTTTGAAATTTCTTGAAGAGATGACGACACCGATACTTGTGAAACGCAATTTACAAAATAATGTAGGAATATATGTAATAATAAGTCATTCCAACTAATTTGCAATTAAATTACATTGCATTATAATTATTCAAACTGCAAGATTACATCAGAAAAATACGTTCCTCGGTCAATTCCCGAGATTTTGCAATTCTGCCGAAATACACAATCGTTTAAATCGTTGCATGGGTCAAGCGTGTTGGCAGAAATCGTCATGTCTACGGAACTGTATTATTGGGCAACTCCGTTCAGCGCGGTGTGTCGAATGTTCCCCAATGATATCGCGCATTTTTGCACGGTGTTCGCAGAACGTAACGGCGGTGACGGTCGTAATTATAAAATGTCGCAAAAGGGTGCAATGAACTCACGAAGCAGTCGCTGCAGCATTGTGTGCTTCCGCTAAAGGCCAGACGAGTTCTTATAAAACAATTCCACTTTATTGCGCACAAATCCATTTTTGTTATATATTTGACGCGCGTGAGCGGGTGGGATTTAACATTTAAACGTTTAATATAATAGACTAGTGTTCCTAATCATATTCTTTATCAATTTCTAGCAAAACATCTCACTACCGAATTGATGATAAATCACGAAATAAAATTAACAACGGAATGGAATGCTGGTGAGACAGGAGGCGCCTAATAATCTTGTTATTTTTAACTTTATACATAAATTTAAATTAAACTCGTATTGATAATTATGTGCCATTATTTTCGAATGAATTTGCAATACATCGACTCAAAGTCAAATAAAATTAAGACAAATAAATTTTAAAAATTATTTTATAATTTTATAATATTTAATAAATTTATTCTACAATTAAAATTTTTTGCATTACTATTAGAGATTATTTGTTGAGATGAAAAATAATTTAACCCCGAACGTGCGCGCATAGATAAATACACGCACGTGGGTTTCCAGCAAT